TTCCGATTCAAATATCGTTACTGTTTTGTGTAGCTTTGTACCAGTGTGTATATATGTATGATGTGTATATGTATATAGTTATACAATAGGAATAAGGTCTGTTTACTATTAGGTGTATAGCGTTGGAATTTTCCTTGTATAGCGTTAATACCTTTACTGTTATAATTGATTCTGTTCTGCTGTCACATGCCATGGCATTTGTAAGCCCTCTCGCACCTCAAGAAGGCAACCTGCTGGTCATCCAAAAGAATCTGCAGGTGATGTGTATATGTATATAGTTATACAATAGGAATAAGGTCTGTTTACTATTAGGTGTATAGCGTTGGAATTTTCCTTGTATAGCGTTAATACCTTTACTGTTATAATTGATTCTGTTCTGCTGTCACATGCCATGGCATTTGTAAGCCCTCTCGCACCTCAAGAAGGCAACCTGCTGGTCATCCAAAAGAATCTGCAGGTGGCAATCAGCTGTTTAACATGCCTTTCTTGTGGTGCGCTGGCACTGTTGGCATGAGCTGCCACAGAGATTAACCTGTTGCCCTGTCTCTTCTGTCTTATTTTCTCCTTTCCATTTCTGCTGGTTTCAGTGATCATCTGGCTGGTCTTCAGTTCATTCAGATCTAGGTTTAAGAAGTAGTATAAGATTTATTCATTGTAAATTCAGTTTAGGTTCCTGAGCACTGGCTTTTCTATACACTGGAGTCTGATTCACGCTAGATGGCTGTTACAATCGTACTACAAAATAATTACTTGAACTTGCAATTTCTGTCTTTAAACATAAAGTTGTTTGCTCAGGAGACTTGACTTTTTACCAGTTTGCAGGGTGTCTTGGCTGACACTGTTCTCTTACAGTGTTACCATTTCTTCAAGGAGTCCAGAAACGCATAAGCAGTCATATGTTGTCATCATCTTTGGTCCTTTGACTTTCTTGAAAACAATACATCTACTTGGATCACTGCTGTGCATAATAAATTAACAATATTTAAATTGGTGCTGGATCTGTTGAAGACCCTGACAAATCCCACCCCACTGGTCTCAACTGTGGAATGCTGTTCTTGGATGTTCTCCCTAAAGTACTTGTGATATGTGGAGCTGTTGACACCAGTGAAGCAAAGGTGGTTTCTCTATTTCATTGTTTGGTGATCCTCATAGGAAAACTCTAGACATGGCTGCTTACTGTTCCCTGTGTGCTGGGCTTACATACCTAATTGTGGTGGCCGTTTATCTGAAGCCCTGCCTGGAAGGACTCTGAGCCACACCATCCACATAGCTGTGGAAAAGCCAACCTTGATCTGCAGGAAAAAGATCTGAGGAAAGCAGAAGCTCTTATTGTGGTGGTCACAAGCAGAGATGAGTGCAAATGGATGTATGAACACATCTGTTCCTAGAACTCCTAAGTATCAAAGCAGTGATACAGTTCTCAGTCAACAAATTCAGACTGGAAAGCAATATGGAATACAACTTTCAGGCGTAAATACTATCAGTCTGTCTTCTGTTTTTCACAGATCATTCATGCCAGGTTGGGACCATTGTCTCTTACTCCAATTGTCAAAGTAAAACCTGTAATTTATACTCAGTTATGATGGAGATATGAAGTATTCTACATGGGTGTGTAGTTTTAACAACAGTGTTTTGTCTTCTACCTTCACCTGTTAAAATCAGATAGCCTTTTTTAACTGCTTTGTTAAAGCTTTGCTTGGTGAAAATCACAATGTATTTAAACTTCCAAAACATATAAGGACTATCCATCCTTTTCCCCATATCATTTAATAGTTCTCTATCAACTAATAAAAATAAGTGAAACGAGTCTACAAGCCAAATCCTGTTTACTGACAGGAGTGCAAAGCGTTACCGTGTCTGACTATGGCATAATATGAAAGTGCATCTTCTTAACTTTTTCAATCATATAGCATCTGAGTGTCCTCTAGTGTAGTCGTTTTTGTGGCAGGTTCCTCAAAAGCAGTAGATAGTCTCTCCTTTGTACCCTCTGACCTGCCAGTAATGCTTGCACCTTTTCTATAGTGCTGTTGTAAGTATTGTATAAAATACAACATGCTTCAGTAACAGTAGGAATCTTTGGTTCTATAAAGTCTACATTGCCAGTATTCTTTGGTGTGTTTTCCCTCATCAGCCTATGATGATTGAGAGGTAATTAAATCTTTCTATGGTGTTCTCAGAGTACGTAGTCTAAACTTAAAGCCATTTAAGTTTTTTTTTTTTTTTTGGTCGTATAAATTCTTCAAAATTTGGTCGCCTTATAGAAAATGTCAGTTGCAAGAAAATGGTGAGTGAGATAGTCCTTCGTGTTAAGGAAGGAACTGTTGATGAAGAGAAGGAGGGGGGAAAAAAAACCTGATTAAGTAGCTGATTAGAGCTAGGCAAGTACCTCTAGCCTTTGGACTGTGGAGTGCTCCCTGGAAGCTTTCCCACTTTACAAATTAAAAAAGCCTATTTCTCAGGTGTCAGCTGCTGAAAGGAAATCTGAAATGTGGTTTAAATATTGAAAATGGATCTGCAAACAAGTTGAGATACCAGAGACTGTTGTGGATCCCTGCACCGTGATGCAAAATGAGATTGTTAGCCTTTAAACACCTCTTTCTTTTCTGTAGCAAAGAAGATTATGTTATATTAAGAAATTTTGATGCAATGTTATGCTAATAGTTCTAAATCTTATTCTATTTATTAATGTCCTGAATTCTGTGACCTGAAACATTAGGTGAAGGGAACTTGTTTTTGGTGCATTTTGGTAAACAACTGTAAGAGTTTCGTAAGGGTTTCAGGTCAGCAATGAGACCAAAAAAAAGCTTCTTTGGCAGCCTGTGAGTAAAAGTGGAATATGCATCAGGTACGTGCCAAGCATAGACATCTTGGTTAATGTAAATTTGCTTTTAATTGTAAATTATCCATGTTGTGTAAGGAAGGCACGTGGGCAGTACAGCAGTGTGACTGAGGAGTGGGATCCATCTGACATAGCTGTACTTTGGAGTACTTGGACTGGGGAGGTTGGACGCTAAAAATAAAAGCCTGCCACAGAGAAAAAGATTTTTCTTCCAAAAGCATACTGCATGTGAGAAGGATCCCACTGCTGTCCTGTGCACCACAGCACCTCAGGGAGGAAAGGTGGCATGGACAGACTTACAATGAGGCATTGTAAGGGCTGAAGTTGCTGCAGTTTGTAGTAGTTGTCCTCTTGCTCAGCTCTAGAGCTGTAATCCCATCAGCTGGAGCCTCCTGCAAAAGCCCTCTGTGGAGGGCACACATCTAGAACTGGAGACTTGCTCCGAAGTTGTCTTATTTGTTCCAACTCTGAAAAACAAGCTGAGTGAAGGGCAGAGGAGGGATGCAGGGGCTAACGCTTGTATGCTGTCATATTAGGCATTCGTAGCTGTGAGGATCGGGAATGAACCTGCTGCCTGTTTACCCTTAGAAGAAGATTCTTGCCAAATATTGTTGATGTATTAGTTGGTTTATAAACTGTCTTGAGATTGTTTTGATTCTTGTTTCTTCTGCCCAGATAAACTTCTGGGGATTGGGGGTGGTTGGTTCGAGGACTCAGTGCCTGTGAGTCACATCTGATGAAATCTGATGCTTTCAAATTAGGTAACTGAGTTTCCTAAATTCCTGGATGGGAGTTAAAGTTGTCCCTGTTTACATTTTAGGGAAGAAAGATAGGGAGGGTGCTTGGGTTTTTAGGAAGGAACAGTATTTGAGCTATTTTTACTCCCGGCAGCCTTTGGCAGAAGGATTGCAGACGTTATCTGTACAGAGGGGGTACACTGTGATGTAGTCGGCAGTTGTGGTTCTCCAGTTATTAAGACTAGAGGCCATGCCAGAACATGGGCTTGGATTTATTTTGCTTGGCCTGTACTCCTAGATCACCTTCCTGTAACCACAGAAAAGAAGTGTAGGATCAGGAGAAAGAGTGGGACTAACATACAAGTGGGTCAGTGGTATGGGGTCCGGGCATGACTTTGACGCACAACCAGACTTGGGAGTTTGGGAAAGTTCCCAAGCACCGTGGCTGAGATGTAGCCCTACAGGACTGGTTCCTAAATCAAAGCAATTGCTAGTGGCAGCATAGGCAGCAATGGCAGTGATTTGTCTGCACATAATAAAGCTGTGTCAATAAAACACTCTTCAACTTATTTTTAAATGACCGGGGGAAAGGGTGGGTAGTGAGGTGGCAAAGTTTCCTAATTAATTTATTTGTGATAGTAAAGAGGAAGTCAGACTGTGATGAATTACCAAAGGACTGGGCAAAAAACTGACTGCGCAAAACAAAACAAAGCAAAACCAGCAAAGGAAATGTGACCTAGGTAAACATTGTGATGCATGTAAATAAACACAGTCTTAGGTTCACATACAAAATTATGAGCTCTGAGCTGATTTGCACAAAAGTGAGATCTTAGGATCTCAGTATTTCCATATTATTGTTCTATATATCTCAGTATTTCCATATTATATTTCCATTAGAAATGGACTTAAAGCTCAGCAGTCAAGAAAGCCAATTTATATTAGGAATTATTAGGAGAGGAGTAGAGAGTGAAACAGAAAACACTTATGCTTAAACTATTTGTTTGTCCACACCTTGTTTTTTCTGCATGGTTTTGGTCCTTCTATGTCAAACAAACAAATAAATTAGATTGGGAAAAGGCTTAGAAAAGGGCAAAAAAGATAAAGCTGTGCGCAGCTTTTGTACAAGGAAGGACAGAGTAGAATGGGACTCTTTTAGTTTGTTGGGGATATAGCAGAGGTCTGCAAAATCTTGAATGGTATGGAAAAGTGGGATCAGGATTCACTGTTTTAAAGGCCAAACTCTAAATCTTTGCCCAAATCTGATTCTTTGGGGAGAATTTAGTCAGGTTAAAAAAAAAAAAAAAGTTTGGTAAGGAAGCTTTACTTGATTACTCTAGAGGCAGGACTGACGGGGGACGTGCTGATTAAAAACTTACAGCCCTGTTCAGAGGACAGCTAGAAGAGCTGTAAGTAAGCAGTATGTATATTGTGAAAGGCAGAAAGAAAATGAAGGGGAAACAGAAGACCTATAATGAGCATAAATAAGGCCAATAAAAGCAATTGAAATATTTTAGAATTGGAAAGAATGCCAATGGAAGAACTGGTTTATTGTGGGAAGGATGTGGTAATGTTGTCAGTAGTGATCTAAAAAGAGATGCAGGGAGAATTGAAAGATACCTGTTATATTAAGTAGTTGTATCAGAGGAAGTCAATAAAATAATTTCCAATAATAGACCCTCAAGGGGTTGGTCTTCAGTAACTGCTAAATTTAGACATTTTTAAATTGGCGTGTCCAGATAATTAGTTTCAACAGAACTGTCCAATGAGCTTCGTGGGCCATTAATGTTGGTTTTTGATAAGCTCTGAAATGCTGGAGAAAGAAGACAAAACCTGGCTAATGTGCCAACATTCAAAAAGGGTAAAAGGCATGACCTGGATAATTACATGTCTGTCAGCTTGACATCACTTCTGGGCAAAATAATAAGGGACCCAATTAATAATGAATTAAAGAGGTGTTGTATAATTAGTGCCAATCAACATGACTTACAGGAAAATCAGACCATGCCAAGCTGACTTGATGTGTTTTTGATGAAATTAGAAGTAGTGGTTGATAAAGCTAAAAGCATTAATATAATATACTTGGATTTCAGTGAAGAGTAGACTCTGGGTACTCCATGGGATTTTGATTCAGAAACAGAAGTCTTGTGAAATCAAGCAGCTACAACTTACATGTAGTACGCATATTAAAGGGTAGTTAATTCTTAGGTGTGAAAATGTCAGTGTAAAATGAAAATCATCACTGAAAGAATATATTTCTGTTGCACTTTTGATGGCTTGCTTTCTCAGCCCTATGGCACTTAACTTCTTATCAGCATCCAAAGGAAACCTGTAATAGTTACTGCTGATTTGCTGAAGATTGAAAGGGCGAAGGATTGGTATGTACCAAGGAGTAAATCCTCTTCCTCGAGGAAGAGGATTGAGCAGTGAATACCGCTCACTGCCACTTACCCAAAGCTGGCACAAAGCTGAAGGTGTCAGTACTATGAAATGCACAAGGCAGATGAAATGCAGTCCATAACTCGTAGAAAAGAACATATTCGGTGGAGTGACAACTGCAACAACCCGAGTTACTTTTTAACCCATGAGCTGCGACCTTAGTGGCTTCAGGTAACATGAAACATTGACTGTTACATTGTGCAGGGGGTTTTCATGGATAATCAGATACTTACGAGTTTCCAGGTCAATTCTATGTCTTAAATAACTTTTCGTGAACTTCAGATGAATGAATAGAGATGTGCCGAGTAGGCACATGCTTCTGAATTTGGTGTGAGCGCGTTCGTCACTTGAGTACTGTATCTAGTTTGAGGTCTACAGTTTGTGAGTTAATGTCAATAAGTTAGAGAAGGTTCAGAGAAAGCCACGGCACTAATTACAAGAGTAGAAAACGTGTTGTGTAGCTGAAGATTTAACAAGCTTCATCTCTGCACTTCCTCATAAATGAGGTTAAGGGATGACTTGATCAGGGTCTGCCGGTACAAATCAAGGGAGGAAAACTTTGATAATGGGCTCTGTGGCTTAGCTGAAAAAGATAAGACCTCATGGCTCGGAGCTACAGTCAGGCAAATTCAGGCCAGGAATAAGGAGGCTTCGCGGTGGGTCGTGTGTCAAGGGCTGCAGTAGATTCTGCAGCATTGCTGACTCTATTTTTAAGGCTAGTACAATTTTCTAAAACATGTTTTAACTGAAACAAGACTGTGATCTAGAAATGATTATGGGCTGTGTTATAAAGGT